TATTCCTGGAGGAAATAAGTACGCATTAGTGCTGTAGATTTTATTATTATGTTGCTACATGTAAGTAATTTGAATTTTTATGCTGGTTAGTTTGACATTCTGTTTACCAGACATTAAACCAATGGAATGTTTTTCTTTGAATTAAGGCTTCAAGGAATACATTTATATCTATTCCTGGAGGAAACAAGTACACATTAGTGCTGTAGATATTATTATTATGTTCCTAAGTGGTTAACTGATTAGCTTTATTTTACCGAAATCATAAAATATGGTATTGCAAATGAGTAGGAAAAATGTGTATGATAAAGCAAAGAAGTAGATGATTTGTGTATGTTTTATGAAGGCATTCAAATGTCATTGATTCTCTAAAACAACTTATGTGCAGATCTAAGTCAGGTCACTGCTGACTAACAGATTGAATCCTAAAACAACCTCTGGGCGGATCTAAGTCAGGTCACTTCTGACTAACAGATTGAATCCTAAAACAACTTCTGGGCAGATCTAAGTCAGGTCACTGCTGGCTAACAGATTGAATTCTAAAACAACCTCTGGGATCTAAGTTTGGTCACTGCAAACGAAAAGATCGACTTGGAATTTAGGGAGAAAAGAGAATTTAGAGGAAACCTGTAGCTTAATGAAGAATTTTGAGAATTGTTTTACTTGTTTACTCTGAATTCTTAAATGTTAACTCATAGCATTTCAACTCCTGATCAGGGATTGAATAAACATTTAAAAACTTGGAGAAACTGAGTAAAAAAAAGGGGGAAATATGACTCCTGACTGCAATTTCAATATAAATGGAGAAGCGTAACCCTTTCACTACTAGAGAGGCCAAAAGCGGCCAACCGGAAATGTGACATTTTTCCCAGAGCTGTGAAAAAGTGGCCAGTGGAAACACATTTTGGCTTTTCAATTAGCTGTGCCCTAGGACATTTCTCTGTATTGAAACACATGGGCTATTGTTTTTTGGATCATTGACTAGTCCAATTCTATCAACCTCTTTGATGTGTGTTATAAGTACTCAATATCTACTAAGCATATATTGAGAAATAAAGTAAAAAACAAATTAGATTTCAGGAAGAGCCTGGACCCTTTTAGCCTCTAGTAGTGAAAGGTTTAATAAACTTTATACATAAGAGATTGAGACCCAGAAGTGAAGGGCAAGTGCACTAATGCTTTGCCACTCTTGATCCCCCAAAACTAAAAAATCTACGGAAAGTTCTTGAATCAATGAAGAGATTACTAAATGTCTTTCTTATTTCTTTTTTCAGTGAAAGAACAACCCAAACGGAAAAAAATGAACAAAAGACTGAAAGAAATGGACAAAAAGCCTGACAAGGCCGATCTTATGGATGCTTTCACAGAAGCTCCACCGAAAGAAGAAGTTAAAGAAGAGGTATGTCGTAACCGACTGTGTGGATTACCTGTGTAATTAGCTTGTGACATAGCTAGATTTAATTGATTGTGACGCAATAATTTTCTTACGCACGCACGCTACAACATCAAGCGTTTGCAGCTTTGGAATATCAATAAATCGTCTAAACCCAACCAACGCTCTCCCACATCACTCGATCAGGCTTAGACAAGGTGCAAAAAATTGTTGTGGAAATATTTGGAATTTGATTGGTTGACCAATATTTTTGAATTCCTTCGTTTGTTATGAAATTTTGCTGTAAATAGTTAGCATTCCATCGTTCATTTCCTGATAATGGGTTAGAAATGCCTTATAATGTGACACCCTTAACTTTGGCCACCCAATGTATTTTATTGGCCTTGAATCCTCTCCAGCCAAGTGTATTCATCAATTTAAGAGACTTTTTACAAAAGAGTCCAGTATAAGCCATCACCTATGCAAATTCCTATCCATTTATTTAGTTTTTGTTGCAAAGAGTACAACTTTTTAAAAAATATTTGCAGTCACGCTGAGTAAGTTCACATGCAAATGCACACATTCTCGCTGTCTGATTGGCTAACTACAGAAGTAAAAAAATTAGTCGGATAGCCACAGTTAGGCATGTCACGCTGTAAATCTTGTAGAATAATATGTATAAATAAACCTGAATTTCTTACTGTGCAGACACTCAATTTATGAACATTTCAAGGTTTTTAACATTTCTCGAATCATCCAATCAGAAACCAGATTTTTACCGAGGTGCCAACATTTTTTCTTGCAATTTCAGATCTCTCATGTTGTTGCCATTAAATTTTACTTTACTTCATCAATAAATGATATTTTTGTTTTGTTTGAAAAAATGAATTATTGAAAGTTTGCACTTTGTGTCAGAGTTTTGCATACTACCATGTTTTGATGAGATCTAGCAGTTCATAAGTTTACATGGAGTGAGCTAAAAATAAAACATCTAAAGATTTTCCATCTGCTGTGTTTGGATGTGGCCTACAAATGTTTGATTTCTTTGTTAATACAGATAGCTTTGATTGGATAGTTATCAATCAATCAATAAACTTTTTTTAAAAGGGTGACATATTAACCCAGTAGTATCTAACTTACGGCTTTCACAAAAAATGTGAAAAAAACCTTGAAGTGTTCATGGTTCAAGTGTCTACACTGTAACTAACATGCAAAGTGTACAAAAAAATTTTAAGAGATGAACAATTATTTTTACTAGCCTAAAGAAGCCMTTAAAGAAACCACAAAAGAGGAACAAGAAGAGAAAGCAGGATCAGAGGAAGAAACCTGGGAAGACAAGGATGAGAAATCCGAAGAAGGTGAGTATCATTAATTATCAAACAAACCATGAAATATTGCAATAAGTAATATACAGACTCGTGCAAGAATGTTCAAAAACAAAATTCAGTTCAAAGTATAAGTTAATGATAATGATAATGATTTATGAATTTATAAAGCACCTTTTCTATGTGAATATAATCAAAGGCGCTCAATTACATTGAGTTAATGACAGATTGCTTTTATGCAATTTACAAGCATGAGAGATGGTTAGTATGAAGTGGAGGCACTGAGGGTGGCCACTGCCAGGGTTTCTTTACGTCCTCAGTGGTTCTTTTACGTCCCTACTATGTTGGTTAGTAATGATGAGTGTGGAGAGACGGTACCGCCATTTAAAGTGGTCATCCGAGCCACTTGAAAGTTTAACCATTTGCAGATGTAATTACAAAGGCAGCACTTTCTCCTCAGTTGTTTTAAGATCCTGAGTGTTGGTCTGGCCAGGACTTGAACCACGACCTCCCGTACGAAAGCCCGATGCTCAACCAACTACCCACTAGTGATTTTCTTTGTTGTGTTCTGACATCTCTGCCCTCATGAATTATTAATGCATTATTAATCCAAGAATAATTTTTGAAATTAACTTATGAGTATTACGCAATGTACTTTCTGTATGTTAACGACAATAAAAACTTTAAAAATTTATTCTTTTCATTTCTTTACCAAAGGGTTGTGGTCACCAGAAGAAGAGGCTGAGGAAAGCAAAAATGGGCCAAGATTCTATGACAGAGATTTCTTACTCCAATTCCAGTTCAATCCTATTTGTACCGAAAAACCTGACGATCTTCCAGACATTGAGGTTGTTCTTCAGAATCCTGTCATTCACAGACCTCAACTTAAACAGCCTTACCCCAGGTACGATTTCCAGACTCTGCACCACATTTGAAAAGAATTTGTTAGGTCTCTACCTTGATTTAAAGGTTTTTCTCTGGTTTTCCTACTTTTGCAATGCCTAACATCCTAAAAAAATTCATCCATCCATCCATCCACCCATCCATCCATCCACCCATCCATCCACCCATCCATCCACCCAACCATCCATCCATTCATTCATTCATATTCATTCATTCATTCATATTCATTCATTCATTCATATTCATTCATTCATTGATTTGTTTGTTTGTTTGTATTTTGACAGACTGGGAGGCGGTGGAGGTGTAGACTTCATGATGCCCAGCTACATGCGACCGCAAAGAGGACAAGGAGTGAGTATCCTTAAACAGACAGCCATAATGCTATGCTTTATAAAGTACTAAATTGTTATGGAAGTGATATTCTAGAGGCAACCATCACTAATCTACTGCACCTATCAATATTAAGTTCCAAGGGGTATTGTCTGTTCACATCCATTTTACAATCGGCTGTTTCAAAAAGGTTGGTGAAGGTTTTGGAATAGCAAGCCAGAAATGTATTGCGGAACATCTCTAATGATATCAGCGCAGAAGAAAATATGCCGGAAAAACATACAGGCAAAGTTTGGTAAAATTCCATATTGTTGTGACCTTTTGCTGATTGCATTCACATTGCCCATGCCGCAGTTAAAGCTTGGTATGTATTTCACCAACCTTTTATTGGAGCAGCTGTATATAGCCTTGTTTACACTGGCGATTTTTGTGGCAATTTTTGGAAATATGAAATCTTTTGTCTCATCCTTCAAAAGAGACATTCGTCTAGCAAAACCTTGGTATCCTGAAAAAAACTTTACAAGTAAATTTGTTACCATTATTTATTATGGAAAATATCGCAAAAAAAACACAGAAAAAAACGCAGCAAACATCGCCGCAAAAATCAGTAGTGTAAATGGGGCTTATTGGAGACTGACCTCTGGTCTCTGAAATACAAAAATTTAACTCTCAAAAAGTCATGACATAAATTATCATTATGTTAATGTCATCATAGCAGTCCAACCAATCAATGACTCGCAGCAATAAAGGACGGATGCCTGCCAAGAAAGTCATTCATACATCAATTGAACAGAAAGTTGAGGTAATGAATACAAACTTATTCATTATTGCAGGAAATAAACCCAATATCTAGAGTCTTATTACAGGGTTCATGCTACTCCTTAAGAGGCTGTCCGCGTAAGAACGGATAAGGCAAAATTTGACCCATC